GGGCAAAACTGGGACCTTAAGGACTTATTTGTTCCTGCCTGCTTCTCCAACATCCAAGGCTCCCAGAAGTCTCCGCTGGCAGAAGTTGAAAAGGAGCCCCCTCCCCACAGAAATTAGACATCTTCCTCTGAGAATGTCACAAACTTCAATTGCAAACCCCAGATGTGGTATTAAAAATAGTTTTATTGCTCCGAGCTTTAAAAAGAAATGTGAGTTCGGGTGAGTCAGGAGGAGCAAATCTCCCAGCGAAGTTTGAGAGAGGAGGCTAATAAAAAAATATTTTCTTTTTCTTTTGAGCTTAATTTTTGTTTGGTGTCTGTGTGTGTGTGTGTGTGTGTGTGTGTGTGTGTGTGTGTGTGTGCGTGTGTGTGTGTCTTCGTGTGAATTGTTTATCCTTTTGTCTGTTGGAGGAAGGACGGTTTTGTTATCCCAACATGGCACCGACTTCACAACATCTGTATCCTGTGGGCTTATTTTACCTAGATTTATGTTCTTGAAAAGTTGTGGCTTGATTAGAAGAACAGATTAACAGAGTTGGGAAGGGACCTGGTAGGTCATCTAGTCCGACCCCCTGCTCAAGCAGGAGACTCTACACCATTTCTGACATGTCTCTCCAGAACTCCTTATTGGGGTTCTGCAGTGGTTGTAACCCCAAACGGCTAAGGAATAATGGCGTGGACAGTAAATATTCTGATTTATTGTGACTTGGCAAGGTGGTAGTCCTCATGAATCCTGGAGATGTTTTTTTTTTTTAATAAGGTTTCCAGGGTCTATTGAAGTTGGAAGTGTTTGTAATGATAATGGCTGCTCTTATAGAAACAATATCAATCACACTGAACTGGTCTACATTATGTAACTTACCAGACTATTTTGATTTAATACGTTAATCATTTTAAATTCTGTTCCAAGCGAACACAATTTCGCTATCTCATCTTCCATTGTATTTTTACTGAATTTTCTTCAGCTCAAAAGATATGAGAAATCCTAAGGTGGTTACTTTCCAGGTGTTTTATATTAAAATCCCCTCTATTTCTGACCCTCAGCAATTCTGGGTAAGACTCACAATATTTATGAGGTTCTCCAGAAGTTGTGGATGCTCCAACACTGGAAGTTTTTAAAAAGATTTTGGATAACCATTTGTCTGAAGTGGTGTAGGATTTCCTGCCCAGGCAGGGGATTGGACTAGAAGACCTTCCAACTATTCTATTCTATTCTATTCTATTCTATTCTATTCTATTCTATTCTATTCTATTCTA